AAACGTTTTCTTCTGGAGGTTCGGAATTAAATGGCTGATGAAAAAACACATTTGATAAATAATAAGTCAGTCTATCTTTAGATGTCATTTATTTTCTGGTACACCATTTACTCTGACACATTCAAAATAGAGGAGCCACTCAGCATAACAGATTTTCAGTTTTAAAGAACTTGGGGTGCCTGAGTGTCCTAGTCAGTTAAACATTAGACTCTTGATTTTGGCTCAGGTCATGATTTCATAGTTTATGAGCTCGAGCCCTGCATCATCCTCTACACTGAAAGTGTGGAGCATGCTTAGGATTCTCTCTCTCTCTCTCTCTCTCTCTCTCTCTTTCTCCCTCTCTCCTTCCCCTACTCACTTGTGCATGTGCTCACTCTTTCTAAAAATTAATAAATCAACTTGTAAAATAAAGAACCAACTCATGGGTCACCTTGTATCACCTAAAAATGAGTAGATATTCCAAACAGCAAATAAGTATAATTAATGTTATCCTATAAATAAAGTGTAAAAATTATTTTATAATATAAAAATAAGTCGTTAATCTACAAAAAATATCTGGTAAAAGAGGGGAAAGACCTGTACTCTGAAAAGTATAAAACGATAATGAATAAAACTAAAGGTGACACCAAAAAATGGAAATATATTCTATGCTCATGGATTGGAAAAACAAATATTGTTAAAATGTCTATACTACCCAAAGCAATCTACACTTTTAATAAAATCCTTGTCAAAACACCAGAAGAAACTTTCACAGAGTTAGAACAAACAATCCTAAAGTTTGTATGGAACAAAACACCTTGAATAGTCAAAGCTACCTTGAAAAAGGAAAACAAAACTGGAGGCATCACAATTCCCATTGTTCGTGGGAATGCAAAGTGGTACATTTACACTGGAAAACAGTATGGAGGGTCTTCAAAAGTTAGAAGTATAATGATCCTATGATCCAGCAATTGCACTATTAAGCATTTACCCAAAGAATACAAGACTACTAATTCAAAGGGATACATGCACCCTGAAGTTTATAACTGCATTATCTACAATAGAAAAATTATGGAAACAGCCCAAGTGTCTGTTGACTGATGAATAGATAGAGAAGATTTGGTGTGTGTGTGTGTGTGTGTGTGTGTGTGTGTGTAAGTAAGGGAATATTAGCCATCAAAAAGAATGAAATCTTGTCATTCACAATGAAATGGATGGAATTTGGGATTATTATGCTAAGTGAAATAGGTCAATCAGAGAAAGACAGTTACTATATGTTTTCACTCATAAGTAGTTTTAAGAAACAAAACAAAGGAGCACAGGAAAAATAATAGAGAGGGAAACAAACTAAGAATTAGACTCTTGACTATAGAGAACAAAGTGATGGTTACACAAGAGGAGTTCGGTGGCAGAATGAGTTAAACAGCTCATTAATTAAGGAATTAATTAAGGATTTAAGGAATTAATTAAGGAATTAATTAAGGAATGTAATTAAGGAATGCACTTCTGATGAGGATGGAGTGTTGTATGGAAGTGTTGGATAACTAAATTCTATACCTGCAACTCATGTTATACTATGTGTTAGGTAACTGGAATTTAAATAAAAATTGTAAAAAGAAATATTTAGTAATATGTTATTGGCTTATGAGAAACAGCTGAATATGACCTGTCACGTAAAGTTGAAAAGTGTTTTAGCTGAGTAACTATACTTATAACAGAATTACATGCTTTCTTCTGTTGCTGAGAATGTGGAGGAAATCTTGCAATTCCCTTGCATAAATAGTGTGGTACTGAGCAAAAGCTTTTGGAAGAAACAAATATATTTTCAAGATGTAAGGAAGGAATTGAAGGGTTGTTGATACATTTGAGCCTAAATGGGAAGCCTTGGTTCATGTTCTGGACGCAAGTCATGCTTTCGGTGATCCACCTGCTGATTATGGCCAATGGTTTAAACTTTTGTTTCCTGACTAGCTGGTTAGATTTAGTGAATTTCTTCGCCCATACCTATCCCCAGAATCTATACAGACTTGATTTTGTTTAATATCCTTTTTTAATTTCTTAATATCCTTTTAATTTATTTCTTGGGAATTCTGTCTGCATCTTGATTTCTGGCTGATACAAATGCAGTCATTGCTGCAAGTAAAAGTTTTCCCTCTAAAGCACACTCTCCTCTATGGGTTATCTTTCAGTGACTATACCAAGAAAACCCACTTTAATTTTCAAACCCCAGATATCATGTTGTTATATGATAAGCAGTAATAGTCAAACCATTAATGACTACATCCTTTTCTGGATTTGCATACTACCAATTATTATAATATTAACTTCCTCACACTTTATTCAAAGCCTGTTTTGCCTTTATATTCTTACCCTGTAATCTTTATTCCTTTCTCAAATTTGGAATATCCTAGACCTCAGAATTTCCTGAGTACTTTCTGTTGTTTTATAGCTTGGCCAAACTGTTGCACTGGCACATGATAAGTATAAGTAACCAGCACATGGCCAGGTTTGTGTTAATGTTTATTATAGCATTCTGTTTATACTAATTTTCATTTTGGATTTTTTCTGTGGGCACAGAATAATTTTCTCCGATTCTTGCAAGAAAACCATAGTAAGGCCCAGCAAAGCAAAATTGGCTACATTATCAGGGCCCTTGGAAGAAACCTGAAGTGTTCCCCTTCGTTCTTGAGTGATTTCAAAACGGCATCCTTTAACGTTCCCCAATGATTAATACATGTTTCTCTTAATCTTTAAGCCTTTTTAAGCAGTAATAAAAAGTAAAATGAGCATTGGGCTAGGTATCAGAGATCTAAGTTGCAGCCTGTTCTCTATCATAGACTCACAGAGGTACTTGGCCCAGTCATTTCAATTCTCTGATCCTCAGTTTTTCCAATTGTAAAATGCAAACTGTCAATCTGTCACCTTTCAAAGCATAAATGAGTCTTAAATTTTTTTCTATTGCTCCTGTAAGTGACAGGTTTTGAATCTATTTCTTTTTTTTTTTTTACGAATAGTTTATTGTCAAGTTGGTTTCCATATAACACCCAGTGCTCATCCCCTCAAGTGTCCCCCTCCGTGCCCATCTCCCCCTTCCTCCCCACATCCATCAGTCCTCAGTTTCTGTCAGCATTCAAGAATCTTTCATGGTTTTGAATCTATTTCTGATAAGTTCCTTTGACTTGGGGTCTGAAGACTGATTCTATAGACCTATGGCACAAGAAAAAGGCTTTTGGGATGTCACTTTAATGGGCAAGGGAAACAGCACTATCTGTAGGCCCTTCTCTCGGGATTAAGGAAGGGTTAGAAGAAAGAGTTTAACTCCTTTTCTGGCTCTGAGCGTCTGATTGGTGCTAAAAGTGTCTATAAAAGGAAAGCATAAAGCATGCTTCTTTCCCCTCTTCATTTCAGTTCCCTAATACAAGGGGGAGATATTGATTTCATTCGTTCCTAAGGGTCTCTCAGTGAAAATTCTGTGAGCTTTTTGGAGGGATCAATGTCCCACTTTATTTATTCACCTTTACAATATTCTGTACCATACTGTACCAGCCCAAACAGAATTGATAAACTAAATTATTCCTGTCTCACAGAAATGTAACTATTGCAAACATACAGCAAGATAGAAGCAGTGCATGTGTTTACAAGTGCAAAAAATATTTTCTATAATAAAAAAATCCCCCCTCTGACATAAAGTTCTTAGAGGATGGCTTTTACATGATTCAAACATTTACGAGTGTGGCTGGTGGAATTTTTCATTGGGCTGAAAACCTTGAATTCCATCTATAAGATTAATACCTTTGCCACAATACCTGATATTTACATCAGGTTCCTGAAAGCAATCCTCCTTGTTGTATGATCCAAAGCTCTCTAACAAATGTAGCTCTAGTTAAATAAAATTATAACTTGTTTTTTCTTCCTTGGAAATATTAAGGCAGTATAAAATAAAGTCCATCAAAAAATTAAAAACAAAATGAAGTCCAGGTACACCAGTGTTGACAGTAGAGGAAGGAGCAGAAAAGTCATTTAAGATTTTATCCTGGGTCATATTGCACCATGGAAATCCAATTCCTTTTTTAAAATCTCTGAATGCAGCTCCTAGCAGTAACATGCTACTGATAGCTTTATCAATGGATTTAAAGTTAGAAGGTGCCTTCCTCAATATTTTCTACTTGAACACAAAAGAAAAACAACATACAAACCAGAAAACAATTTTACTTACATTATGTCAAATTAAGTTGATGATGAGTGTCTAAAGATGTAAATTTATCCTAAAATCATTTAACCTATTGTTGATTTTTAATGCACTGATTATTCTGATAGATACAGCTTATCTATGAGAAACAGAGTAACTACCTCTCTTGTCTTCTTATTTCTCTCTCTCATTATCAACATGTTTTTGTTGTTATTGTTATTGTACTGGAGTGCTTTCTTTGAAAGCAGAAACTCTACACTTAACATTAATTACATTTAACTTTTGAAGTAAAAATATATAACTTTTACAAGCTGATAAGAATATGTATTCATGGTTGTAAACGACCTGAGACATTATGGCTCTTATTTTTGTAATCATAGCTCATTCTGAAAATAACAGAAATCTAACCATTTAAATCACTTAGCAGAAGAACTATCACCTCCAAAAAGTTATAACAAAGAGTAGATAAAAAACATCCTGCATATTCTGCAAGTAATTCTATTTAATATAGAGTTGCTTAAATTACAAATGTTCACAGGGCTATTTTATTCAATATCAACTGAGTGAAACACGTTAAGAAAAATCTCTCCATGTCAAGCATATTTCTCCCCATTCAAGTTACCTCCCCCTTCCCACATCAAGCAGCTAAGTGTATAATTATTTCTGTTTGTGCAAATACTAAGGAAATGACATACAATAATGGTCCAGGTTCATGATATCCATACCATCTTTAGATCTGAAAGTTACCCAGAACCTGGTGTGAAGAGACCAATTTTAGATATCAATGGTAAAAGATACAGATAAGATCTAATTATTAAAACCTGGAGCCTACCGTTTCAATTTCTTTCTGTTTTCTCCAAAGATTTCCAAAGAATTCAAAGCGACAGCCACTTCAACAAGGATGCTACTGATCTGTACATCAATTCCAGGTCCTTGTTCTGAGAAAAACAAATTCAATCCGTTTAAAAAAAAAAAAAAAAAAAAAAAAAAAAAAAAAAAAAAAAAAAAAAAAAAAAAAAAAAAAAAAAAAAAAAAAAAAAAAAAAAAAAAAAAAAAAAAAAAAAAAAAACCCAGCAAACAAACAAAACTCTTAAAATGAGATAAAGACAAAAGGACAGGAGATAGAGAAAGAGTGAAAGAGAAAGAATAAAGAAAAAGAAAGGAAACAAAAGAAAGGGAGGAGGAAAGAGGCAAGGAGGGAGGAAAGAATATAAATAAAAGAAAATATAAGAAAGCCAAAATAAAATTGAAGTTAGCAAAGGTAAAAAAAAAAATGAAATGAAACTCTCAGCATTACCTAACCATGTTGGAAAACATGGTAGTGAGATGTCAGAGTGAAATACGCAAGCCTCTGTGCACACTGAACATTTCCGTTTTCCAGGGGGTAGCTTGAGCTACCAAGCTTGCTCGTTCTTGTTCTCTCTCTCTCTGTCTCTCTCTCTCTCTCTCTGATTAATTATGCAGAACTATTCTATAGACCATACATAGAGGCTGCAAAGCTTCACACTTAACAAAGAAACTCTCGTTTCCATTTATAGGACCACAGTGCATTGCCTTCCACTTAGCTTTGAGTTTGTGACAATACATGGCTTGTTTGTTTATGGAGACTTTTGCAGAAACTGTGCCTTTTGGCCCCTTTCATAGACAGTGGACGACTGCAGTCTTCACCATGATTCTCTAAGTACCTCAATTGTTGGGTTCAGGTGCTAAAGTGGACAGTCCTTACCTAAAATTCACCCTTAGGTAGCTCCCAATAGGAGAGGTCAAAGTGGAAATGACTTCTGCCTGGAGTATTTTTAGATATACAGACTTTTAAACCCATGAGATTAAAATAAATACTCTACTCCTTAAGAAAAACTTGAAGATACATAACTCACCTCCCATTTCCTGTCCACCCACTCCCCATACCTCTCAGAGTTCTCGGCCAGGAAATGCAAGTAAACCCTCATTTCCTCTCAGTGGTTAGGAATAATTGGGTGAAAAGAGGCTTATTTCCTGTAGCCCAGACCGTTAGCCATAGCCTGTTGAAGGTGGTGTTCTAAGGAGCTCCAGAGCCCCAGAGCCCAGGACCACATTCTATTTGATATCTAACATATTCCATCTGCAGCAGCACCCCTGCGAGATGAACAAGGAGGAGCTGACGGCAATCTCCGAGACTTGCATAGTATTTTATATCAGAACAAGGGAACTTTTCACATGTACCATGGAAGAAATAAGTATATTAGTGCAAATCTAGCCTCTCATTCCAGGACATATCTACACGGTACATTATAGGAAGCATCTGTAGCACTCTTTGCCTCAAAGTTTTTTTTTTTTTTTTTTGCTAATGCCTGAAACACAAATCCTTTGGAGTTAAGCATCCTTTTCATCCTAAAGTCTTGATTTTCCAATCCTGTCACTCTTAGAAATATACTTAGTTGAAAACTTTGGAATGAATAAATTTATTAGGATTGGAAAGATAAAAATAAATAATAAGAGCAGAATATAAAAGAAAACTGAATAGATTCCAGGGAATGAAAAGTGAATTGCCAAACCAATCTTTAATGACTTCTCACTAAGCTAAGTATGTTGAGAATAGTTCTGGGTAAGTGGAGAAAATATAGGGGAAAGGGGTAAATTAACTAAATTTGCAAAGGTCAGATATATTGACAACAGCACACAATTCCTTGCCCCTGCTGTGTCCTTTTATTCTGTACTCCACAGTCTGGTAGAATGTGGCATTAATGCTATATTAATTTAAATAAAATTTTCCTACTTGCTTTTGTTGTGTCTAGACTTTATTGTGATGCTCTCTCTGTTCAGAGAACCTTAGCTCCTTTCATCAAACACCTACTGAATAACTGCCAAATACAGACCAGTAGATCAAATATAGCTGAAGAGGAGAGAATGAGGGGTAAAAAAAGTATGAGAGCTGATGGTAAAGGAAAGGATATTGCTTCCCAGCAACTTTTCAGAATCTAGTTAACAGATAAGACATATGTAATTGCCTAAGTTATAAGGCAACATACATGTCATAAGGGCCTAAAAATGTTATTTCTACTACTGTAATGTTTTACAGAGGAAGGCTGGGATAAGAAATGGAATTTCAGGATGCAAGCCAGGCAAGCCCTCAGGAGAATGAGAGTTTGGGCTGGATCTCTTAAGAATGGGAGGATTTCAATAAGTACAAAGAGAAAGTATTATTCAGATTTCTAAAAACTCATAAATTTCTTTGTACAGGCTCACATTTTATTATCCTAATTTTCCTCCCATCTGCTTCCACCAAATAAAGTTTGGGTATAAACAGATCAGTCTTGAGGTTTCATCTGGCTTTCCCAGATAGAACTAACAGGAGCCAATCTTTATGTATTTTGAAAAAATACCTGATGGTAAAGTTTCTTGACTTAGTCTATACTTACCTTTCTTATTTAGATCAAGGAACTTTACCCCAATGAGAATCCAAGTTATGCTCCTATATGAACATTATTGAATTCCACTCCAAATTGTTCAAATAATACTATTGCAGAGCTAAATGGGATGAGTCATGATTTAGTCTAAATTCTCATTTTAAAGATGAATAAATTAAGAGAAAAGGACCTGATCCATGTCTCACAGTGAATTAATGATAAAGCTAGGACTTAGACCCAGGTTTCCTGACTTTTAAGACAATGTCCTCATCAAAGTCATTTCGATTTGGCCAGAGGCTCATGGCATCAATGATATGGGTAATTTATTTGCAATTATATCATCCGTGGCAAGATCTGTCTTATTTAGTTAGAGAAAAAATCAAATATCAAATAAGCTCAAAATCTAAATTCTGTGGCTCTGTCTTTATATGTAAGAATGGTAGACATTTTGACTCACTTAGATCTACTTAAAAAAGAAAAAGTTTAAGCCCAGTCAAATTAAAGATACAGGCCAAGACAAATTATAAATCTTTTCTCAGTCATGTAATTTTGAAATAAAAAATATTAAAGTTTAAAAAAAGGGAATATAGCAGCAAAGCAGAAGGACCTAACTTCACCTCCTCTCATAAATACAACTAAATGACTATCAAATCATCCTAATACCCCAGAAATTGACCTAAAAACTTCCAGAACAAACTCCACAACTAAAGGTAGAGGGAAGGCCACATCGAAGAAGGTAGGAAGTACACAGAGATGGTTTCATAGAGAAATGGATTGTGGCCTCTGCACCTGGGACAGAGCCATGGTGGTGGAGGATGAGAGACAGACTAACATAAGGGGAGGGCATGGGTGAAGGAATCTCGATACCATTTGGTTTGGAAAGCAATAGGGGATGAATTTCATTATAGCTGACCACCACCTGGGCTTAACTCTTGGAGTTTTAAAGGTCAGTGTGGGCTTGGGCCCCAAAAAGCATAGAGAGCATTGGGACTGCTCTTGGAGAGAAAGCAAGGCAAACAGTCTGTGAACTTACAGCATAGAAACAGTGATATGAAGAGCACTTGGGGCACAGTGGGGTTATTTGCTCATCTCAGACCATGTATCAGAGAAGCAGTGTTCACAAAGAGACCCCTTCAGGAACAAAAGAACTGGCAGGCACTGTTCCCTTCCTGCCCCCCTTTCATCATAAGCACAGGGCCACCTGCAGGAGGCGGTACAGGCCTGAAATTCACTATTTAACTTCCTTAAACCAATACCCACCTGCCACCCCTGGGCCCCAGTGGAAGCAACCTTCCCTTCCAAGTCATGCTTGCTTCAGTCCAGGGTGGTGAGACCCCTACCCCAGAGGTGCCAGGAGTTTTGCAAGGATATAGTTCCAGAGGCTACGGCAACAGGTCTCATTTCACAAGCAGACCAGAGAATACCTGCTTAAAACTCACCACATTCAGGCCAGGGACAAAATACTGCATACAACAGAAAAGAGAGCCTCTGAAGATGACTGGCCCAAAGGATAAAGCAGCCAGAATAAAATAGCAGAGCACACACAACATACATTAGCGACACTTCCTGAAATACCAGGCCCTGGCGAACAAAGGACACTATACTGCAGAACACTACAAGACCTCTTCTTACTAAGGCCATTACTCCCAAGAACAGGAAATGTAGCTAACTTTCCTAACATAGAGAAACAAGCACAGAGACTTAGACAAAATGAAAAGAGTGAGTATAGAAAACAGCCACAGATATACCAAAACAGATATAAGTACATGCCTGGTAGAGAATTGAAAGCAATGATCATAAAGATACTCAGTGGGATACAGAAAAGAGTAGAAGGCATCAGTGACACCTTTAACACAAAGATAAGGAATAATATAGTAGAGATAAAGGGTTCAATAAATAAATGAGAAACGCATTCACTAGAATGAACAGCAGGCTAAAAGAAGCAGAGGAATGAATTAATGACCAAAAAGACAGTAATGAAATGTAACCAGGCTGAACAAGAGAAAAAAAATGTCTTTTGCAGTGAGAATAGACTTACAAAACTCAGAGACTTCATCAAGCATAATAACATTCATGTTATAGGGATCCAAGAAGATAGAGAAAAGGAGACAGAAACTCTATTTGAAGAAACAATAGCTGAAAACATCCTGAAATTGGGACGAGAAGAGACATCCAGATCCATGAAGCATAGAGAATCCACAACAAAATCATCCAAAGCAGATCCACACCAAGATGTATTATAATTAAATGGGAAAATGTAGTGATAAAGAAAGTTTTTGTTTTTAAAACAAGACAAAAGAAGACAACTACATACAAGGGAGACCCCATAAGGCTATCAGCAGATTTTTCAGTAGAAAGTTTGCAAGCAAGAGGGGAGTGGCATGACATATTCAACATGGTGAATGAGAAAAAAAAACCTGCAGCTAAGAATACTCTATCCATAAATGATATCATTCAGAACAGAAGGAGAGATGAAGAGTTTCCTAGACAAACAAAAACTAATGGAGTTTGTGACCACTAAATCAGCCCTGCGACAAATATTAAAGGGGACTCTGAGTGGAAAGGAGAGATAGTAAGAAGGTAAGAATTACAAAAGCAATAAAAATAAATATTTCTATAAAAATTACTCAAGTAACTCATAAAATAAAAGGATGAAAAATATGACAATGTATACCTAACACTTCAGAAGGAGAGGAGTAAAAAAACAGGTTCAAAATTAATCAATGCTTTACCTAATATAAAATTCTATACACAGAAGCTGTTATATACAAACCTAGTGATAATCATATATCAAAAACCACTAATATGAATGCAAAGAAAAAAAGAACATATATATATATATATATCACTAAAGAACACCAAAAGTCAAGAGACAGACAAGAAAGTATCAGAAACAATCTTTAGAGTGCTCGCTTCAGCAGCACATATACTAAAATTGGAAAGAAACAATCTTCAGAAACAACCAAAAAACAC